TTCGCCGCTGGTATGCAGAGAGCGGCCCGGATGCATAAAGACGCTGGTAATAACAGTTAATCTTTGCAAAAGTTCAATTGCTGCCAACCCACCAAACAGCCAGCCCAGAGCCAGGGCAACAATGGCAGCCAAACATCAAAGTGGGGGGCAGCGCAGAGCGGCCGGTTCCCATCACCTAAATCAACAAGGCCTGGGTGAAGCCACGTTAAGACGGATGTTACACACTGTTTATTTGTGTCACAACAGCCATTTCCACCTGCTGTAAAGTCGTGTTAACCAACTATAATTTCTTTTAAAAGGTTTCTTGTTTGGGAAAGCAATTCTAACTCTCCTTGCTGGAGATATCAATAATAGAATTGCTGCAGATAAAGTATGAAGTCCATATTTAGATTTTTAGACTGATTAGACCACACGAACTACAGATCTTATTTGTCCCACATCCAATATCTAAAAAGTAGCCCATATTTTAGTCAAGCTAGATGTGGAATGTGGGCCACATAAAGCCTGGTATACAGAGTTTCCCAACCTATTTTACATCAGAAACCTGGGCCTGTTTAGTTAAACACACTGCTGAAGTACCCACAGGAACTGAAGAAAGACACGTGCAGACCTTTAACTGCTCTCAGTCACCTCCTGCAACCTTCATATGTTTGTGGAAATACAGCACAGGTATTTCCACCAGCTGCTGGTGCTACATGTGTACATGTACCATGACTTGTCAGTTACTGTGTCTGCACTCGTACAGTCTTTTGCACTGCACGTGTCGTGTCTCCTGTTTCTTTCTAGAAACATGTTCTGCGTTGGACCTCAGCTCATGTGATGGATGTGTGGCCTCAACGTGTAGTGACATAACATAAACGACATGTGGGTTGGATGGTTAATTGCCGCGGGGGCTTGTGAACTTGCTTACTGACTGTTACCAGCTCCACAGCCTGACCTCAGACCTCTGTGGAGGAGGAGGGAGGGTTCAGAGTGTCGGGTGCCTAATGACAGCCAGTCTGTTCTGTGTGACATGACCTCATTACCTCAATCCATGTATTGATAGACAGAGCGGGATTATCGTGAGTCTGATGGAGTGTTTAACGCCACTGCGGCTGGTAAAGGTTCAACTGACACACATGATAAAATAACATATTGATGTTTCTTCAGCTGAGAGCGGTTGCAGTGAAAACTGAAGTCGTTGAAATGTCACAATTATCTGAAAGAAAAATATTTGTCCATAATGTAACGTTAATTTATTGACAATATTTTATTTATCTAATGTTTTCAATGTATTTCTTGATATTAAGAAATGTGTTAGCCTCACCTTGATTAAAATGCTATCATTTTTTTGGTATTTTTATGCATTTTTTTTCAAATCGTAATTGTTTTTCTTATTTTTATGCATTTTTTTTCAAATCGTGTTTCACAGCAACAGATTTTTAGTGTATTTATTAAATTCCTTGAAACGGTTAAAAAAAAAGTACCTTCATGTCCATTCAACCGACTTCCGTCTGTGTGAACCTGCTGACCTGTATTTACTTAGAACAGGGTGGAGTTAATGAACAGCACAAAGGTAAAAAAAGGTCTCAACAATCAAACCTACAGGGGTTTATCTGATGTTCCGGAAAAACGCCCCGGAAACCTTCCCTTCAGGGATTTGTTTTTGTCCATTTACTCTTGTGGCCAGTGCTGTTTCCCATGTAACTTCATCTGAGGGTGGGTCCAGTGTGTGGCTCTGCTACAACTGTAAAATCAATTTGATCAGTTTGAAAGTCTACTTTTACTAAATGGTATCCCAAGATCATGTGTTCTGAATGAATGACAACGGTAATTGTTATTGTTTGGATAGTCTGACTTTTTACAGAATACAATACATGTGTATAAGTGTATTTGTGTGTGTATATACAGATGTATTTATTAGTTAAATAAATCTAAATGTTTTAATACTTTGACAGATGATGATCTTTTGGCTTCATCCGCAGAGTAGATTTTATACCAACGACCCATCCTAGGATTGTAGACTTGGTTGAGACTTTATGTAGAATTTCCAGTTAAACTCCTCTTTGTTTTCTTTCCTACTTTCTCTTCTACCCAAACAATCCAACAAAGATAGAAAACCATCTCAGAGGCTGGAGTTGTTGGTACAAACACGTGTCTCAGCACACCTCTCCTGTTCTCTGTGTGAATAAGGTCATTCAGCCTGTTTGACTTAGGAAGTAGATGTGACTGGAGGTCAGTAACACAACAGAGTCAGTTTGGTGTTTCACTCTATTCTTGTACTTAATGTGCCTTATTTAAACGGAAACAGAATAATTCCCTCTCTGCGTGGGTCCAAAACAGTGCACTTTCATTTCCCCTCTGTGATAATTGGTCTATTTCCTTCGACAGATCATTTCAGGTCACAGACTCATGTTGGAGTTAAAAAAACAAAAACAAACAAAAATCTTACCTTCAGCCTGAGAGTAGTATGTATTAAAGTCAGGTGAAAACAACAACAACAACAACAACAACAAAATCCTGAATGGTGCCCTGTGGGAATACAACTAATTTTATTAGCCTGCTTGAAAACATTCTACCTAACAAGTGGAAAGCAGTTTCTGCATAAATTAAAGATAATCCAGTGTAAAATATGCAAATATATTCGCACAGATAAAGAAAGGGGCGGTGCGGTGGTTTGTTTTCAGGTTAAAAAAAACTGGACCAGGGCGTTGAAGCTGAACCGAGAAAAAAACTTAAAGTTTTTTTTGTAAAAGCTCAGCCTTTGAAAAAAAAAAACAGATGACGCATCATGAATCTCTGGTTAGCGGGGAACTAAACCAGTAAGGAAACTACATCAAAAATAGTGCTTTATTTTTTTTTTAATTGGGAAACTGAAATCTATTTATTGGACCAATAAAATAGTCCAGAGAGCTCTGACTGAGGCTGTAACTGGGTTTAGGTTTTCAAGTCAACTTTTTACCCCCCCCCCAAGCTGTGGTACAATGCTGAGAGTTGGTATTAATTTCATTACCTGTGAACATATGTGGCATGGAGCCCAGGGGTCAACATCCAATTCAAGGAATTTAAACTCACATTATGATCAGTTTAATCCCCATTTCTGGGCAGGAAGTGTTCCCAGGGCTGTGGGAACATTTCTGTGACCAGCTTTAATGTTCAGCTCTGCTATCTTAGCATTTATCCATAAATTCACTCAGGGACTGTTATCATTTCAGTTTCACTCAAATAATATATGCAATATTATACAATATGTAATGATATACAGTAGGGATGTCTGATAATATCGGCCAACTGATATTATCACGCAATATTAGTCTAGTTATGTAATATCGGTAAGAATCGTTATATAATATATAATATAATATAAGAATTGTTATCGGTTTTTCCTCCGATAATGAAAACCCGATAACACAATCTCTGGGTTTGGCCCAGATGATATGACCTAAAAATAGTCTTGAGGTGTAAGTGAAACTGTTATTAGTGTTGTGCACAGTACTGTCATCGTGACGCTGCACACTACTGCACACAATGAAATTCTTCCTTTAACCCAATTGGCTGCATATATCAGTACCTCACTGAACACAATCTGACTGTCAATGAACATGGATTCATTCATCATTATGAACTCTTCGTCAGCACTGGACCTACTGTATGTGGACTCCCTCCTGACAACCACCATAACCTGTTGAACTGGTGGTAAAGTGATCCCAGCTGACATTGTTGAATGAACAGAGGATAAACAAGGCCGGTCATGACATCTACGGTCAATTTAGAATCTCAAATGAACCTGCGTGTCTTTAGACTTTGGGAGGGAAACCAGTGGACATGACAAGATCATGCAAACCATTTGTCTGAGCTGGTATTCAAATTCAATGACCTTCCTACCACAAGGCAACTGTGCAGTGGATAAAACCCTGATTTTCTTTCTCTCTCATTCCCTCTGTCCCTCTCTCTCTCTCATACACACACACACACACACACACACACAAACACTTGTTCCACATTCTCAAAGTGAATTGTGATTTCTGGGTCACTGCTGATGTTTTGGTCTCCATTTCAGTAGAGGTGCGAGCAACTCCCAGGGGTCAGGAGGTCAGCAGCTATGTGAACCGCGCCGCACACACACTTGAAAACTCAACAAAACAAAAACCTCCTCTTTGCCGCTCACTCAATTACTCTGTTCCGTGGTGTTAATGACTCCCTGCTGTCTGCAGCTGCTGTTTCACATCTCAACACCTGATGATGTTCATGGACTCTGCCTCACAGACGCCCCGGGAGAGGCTGCCCCGTGAAAACCATATCTTACAGACATCACAGTCCACACTATTATCACATTTTACGGTCTGTGATTTTAGCAATCATGTGTTGCTCTGAAATGTGATCAAGTCTCACCTTTTCTCCCTCTAATCAATGGTAAAGGCGAATAGGTTGTGAAATTGGGAAATAGCGAAACCTCACACGTAAGTTGACCCTTGACAGTTACCAGGTCTGGAAACACATCTGTCGCAGAATAGAAAAATATTTATTAAAATGGAAACTTTGTTCAGTTAGTAAGTTAGTCAAATGACTAATCGCTAAGTCATAGTAAATGATAGTTAAATTGTAGTCAAAGTTTCTACAATAAATCTGAAGATAATATCCACAAAGACATTTCCATGTAGTGTAACTATTTGATTGGTTTTCTCTCTGTTATACACATGATCTCTATGTACAGTTTTCATGTTCTCTCCATGTGTACTTTGGTTTCCACCCATTGTTTGAATATTAACCTTTTTGTCAGTTACATGGTGTAGTGGTTGCCACACCTACCCTACATGTAGAAGGTCCTGGGTTCAACACCCATAGGAACCACATACCTCAGATGGTGCCTCCCAGGTGGCAGCCTTTCACTATTGTGGAATGAACAAGAGACTCTCAGGCTGGTGGAATCAGCTGTGGTTAAAATGGATGGATGGATGGGAGTACCCTTTGGGAATTCTTTTTTTTTTTTTAGATATAATGTAATGGTAGAGAATAATCTAAATCTCAATGTAATGTAGTAATAAGTAAATCAAAGCAATACAAGAAGAAAATGAAAAAGAAAAAAATCCCATGATAACATTGACAATATTAATAAAAACTGCTTGGATTCGTGGTAAAATAATACAAACTTTAACTGTCAGTGTTAGCAGTGTGGTGGAGGCAGTGGTGTGGTGAGGAGGAATAGAGGCCGGTGTGGCTGTGGGTGTGGCCGGTGAACACTCTCGGTCTGGCGGCTTGTCTCCAGTCAGTCAGTCGGTGTGGAGGAGAGCGGACGCAGAGGAGCGACGCACCGCACTGGGACCCTGGATCTGTACCCACGCTCACGTACATACTCCACACGTTAGAAGCCGACCTACAGGCAGGAGCGCAGCGCAGCAGCATGCTGCTGTGACGGCAGAGGGCCAACCCGGACCTGCGCCCCAATCAATTCCCACCAAAATCCACCAAATTCACCTGTGTTAGTCACCGCAGCTGCGAGCTGTTCGCCGGACATGGAGACTGGAGTCTGGCTGCTAATGGCTGCTCACTTCATCCTCATCTGCCAACAAGGTAAGAGGAGCTGTCAATCTTTATTTTAACATCCTTATATGTTAAGAGTTTTGTTTTAATTCAAAATGTTTATCTCTGCATTCACTGCACATGCCTTGCTGTGATTGCGCAGGTGAGTGGGACTAAGGGAGAGTTACGAGTTTTTTTTGTTGTTGTTTGTTTTTAAAATATGAATTGATTTTTGTCATAATTTTATCTGCGGTGCGCGGGGCGACGCACTGGTGGATTTTAACGAAAGTTTACGCTGAAAAAAAAAAACATAGAATAAACGTTTATTCGCCTTAATATTCAATAATAAAAATCACCTTTAGTCGGTCCGTGTGCGTGTGTTTGTTTACGTGTGTGAAGCCGCAGATTAAAACGTAAAGAGCGGCCGAACGTCACCTATCAGTTCCAAAGTGGAGCTGTCAAGCATGAAGAGAGAAGTTTGGACACGGTCTGTCTCCCAGGCTTATTAGGAGTGTCAGATGCTCCCGATCTGGCAACCACAACAACCACAACAGCGGGAATAATGTGCCTCAAAAACACCGTCAATGTCAGTGGAAAATTAAAGAATGACGCCACAACAGCCTGTCTTAATGAGGCGCTTTAACAGTTTGATCAAATGATTTACTAAATTGACTAAAACCCAGTTTCTAATCAGATGAGTTTCTGACCCTCCTGTGATTTTTGGTTGTAGATATTTTTCTTTCTACTGTCGCCAAAGAGCCTTGTTTTAGGTGTTAAGTGTAGCAGTCGTGGCTGTTGTGACAACCCACCCTGTATGAAACCAAGAGATGTTGGTTTGTAAATTAAATTATTCAAAAAGCTCTTTCGTAGGTTTTATCAAGAGTTTGTAACATTCAAAGTATTTTATCTTTTTTTCTTAACTATTTGAGATGAATAGTATTAATGTGGACAATCTGTAGTGATTTAGCAAAAGATTTGTTCATGTCTAGTGTTGACATAATACCAGATCTCAGTCCAACTATTCACTCTGATCAGATTTTTAAAAAAATTAAAATTTAAACCAAACACTCCTGAAAAAATAAACACACGAGTAGGCTACCTGAACTATTATGAAGTTAAAACAGAATAAAATAATAATTTATAAAAATTATGAAGTTAAAACAGAATAAAATAAAAGAGTAGATTACCTTAGTAATCACTTTTGGCTTCGCAATAATTTGTATCAGTTCACTTACAATATGGTCAAAACAGGAGGCTCATTGTTATAATGTGTAGAGACTGAATATAAACCAGGGTCCTGTGAGAATCTCTTGCACAAAGCTGTGTGGAGATGCATTGCCAGGTGCAGTAACCGTATTTGCCAGTAGGGGCTAGTGTGTCTGAAATATTTTTATATTTACATTTGAGACGTGTATGTTTTACATACATTGTAATTGTTAAGTTACAATCAAATTGTATTTGCTTTTTTTAATAAGTAGCCATTGGGCATTAAAACAGCAGACGATGGATGTTGAAAGGTTGGGTTTGGAAATGTTACATGGTTTTAATATTAGTTGGTTTTGACCAAACTGTACAGGTTCCGTTTTCGTAAATCGAGGTTTTCAAACGTGGTGCAGAGATGTGCAGATATGGGATTAATTTTTGCATTTGTTTGTAGAATTTACCGTTCTTATTTAATTTCACCTGAACACACCGAGTCCATCACCTCAATCAAACTTTAATGTCTGTGGTTTTGGTGTGAGGATTTGTCACCAAAGATCTGACAAAAAGAAAGGTTCTCACACATTCATTCTTCCCAGCAGTGCGGTACAGTTACAGCATGCCAGAGAGGGCGCTGATCTGCTCGGCTGAATCTTTGTCTTTTGGGGGGAAGGCACGGAAACAAAGATTAGGGGGTGAATCTAATCTTTGCTAGTTTTAGTTGAAGAGCTGACGGCTTTGTGGCCAGGCCAGAGAGCCTGGATGATTGTTGGACTGTTTGGAACCTGTAGAAAGCCTTCAGGCCCTTCGTTTTCTCCATCTTTTTTTTTTTTTTTTGCCAAAGCTTTTGATGAAATGTCATGGCTCCTGATAAATGCCAGCCATCCCAGGAGGCAGAGATGGCGAAGGAAGTAAAAGACACACGAGGAGCAAACTCGGCACCATCTGTCCAACCCAGAAAAAAATATTTGTGAATGGGCAGTGCCAGCCGTGCCCTGTGCTCTGTCTGGGCTAATGGAGTCTCTGTCCCTCTTGTTGTCTAACAGGGAGATTGTGGGCAGATGGCCGTCTCGGTCTCAGTCAGGGAGGCTGTCAGTCAGACACATGCAGTGACAACCGTTGAACTAAACCATTACTGAATCCTATGTAGACGTTGGATAAAGATAGAATAAAAGGTATTACCTGAAATGTAGTTTTTGTTCAGGGTTAAAGGTTGAATTCCATGAATCCAAACCCTCTGGAGACTTTTTGACGTAGTTACCACAGGCTCAAGCAAATGTCGCTCTAACCTTGATTTTTTTTTTTTTTTGTACTTTATATTTGATTAGAAAACAGTTCCACCATTATGTTGTTCTTCTAGTTGTAGCAAGCTAGCTTATCAACAAATATGACATGATTATTTTGGTACACAGCTACAGCAGACATGGAAAAATCCTCAAATGACAAAATGTCCAAACACAATGTTTGTGTGTGTTTGGAGGGACAACATGACTTATCAACTTATTAAATGTGCCACTGGTCACTGTTGTTGTAGATGGGGTCAAAGGACTTTTTGATTGGGTGCCGCTTCAAAATGGAAATTTGTCTTGAACGTCTGCTTCCATTTTTATAAGGACAAACAGGTCGTGGAGAGATTTTATTTTTTGTAACCTGAATATCTAAAACATGTTTTAACAAATCTTTTGAACAATACGTTTCTCACAGGAATATTACCTTGCCTTTCTTGTGTCTCTTCTTGTGTTTACTCTTGTTGGTTGTTCTAGGCTCCATGTTGATAATCATTACAATTAGAACCAAAGGCAGAATGGCATTTTGACTACTTACTGGTGTTATTAGGTTGTTTGATTATCATTTCCTTGGGAAAGAAGAGTATAATTAAAATGGTTTTATCTTTTTACATGTACACTGTATTTTTGCCATTTCCCTGACATGTTTTTTTTTAACTATGTTGTTAAAAGTTTTGTTTTCCCACGAGTCAAAGCTGCATTAGGTTAAGATTGAAATGTTGTCAAAGCTGCATTAGGTTAAGATTGAAGGCATGGGACTCTGACTGGTATGTGCTGGGGTTGGTCCTGCTTTAGTCCACAGCTGTCCTGGCTTTACACCTTCATCTCTATGGTCTGCTGCTTGTTCCTTGCTTCAAACAGTTGTTTCCTCCTTGTAACAAATTAATATTGTCTGACCCTAAGATAAGGGGGTTAGGTTCGGCAAAGAGAACAACTGGTGGCCCCAAACAACAACTGATAATTGTCTTAACCTGGTGACATTAGTTTGGTTCTTTTATATTCCAGTGCAGAGCTGTTCAGGGTCTCTTTGACCAACTCTAGTCTCACATTTTTCTCCACTACAACTACTGTTATTACATAGAACCTTCTGTATTAATAATAGGGATTTGATTCTTCTGTGCTGACTTTGTGTTCTTAGTTCCGTTCATGGTGAAATTGTAGCTTTATATCCTTGATATTCATATCTATCAATTTTAACACAAACTGTTTGACTCATTGGAACTATGTTTATTGTAGTGTTCCTATCTAAAACAAGTCTATTGTACACACAGTAATCTTATAATGGTTTCTTAATTAGTGACTGACTGTAATATGAACTGGTAGTTAATGCTGTTTCCGGTCAAAGAGGTTCTCTTCTTGGTCATGTGTGCGATTTCTCCAGCAACTCTGTATAGTGGATGACGTTAATTAGGGACTCACAATTGACCGAGAGGCAAGTTTTGATCCACTTAAATTCTAAAGTCAACGAAGACGTCACACCTTTTGACCCCAAAGAAAGGTCATGTGACCGGCAAAATCTGTTTCAGTTTCAGATGCAATACCATTACTAACATTATAAATCTGCCCAATCAGAGGCTGACATTGCCCACATGACTTTGTGAGTCTTTATTGTTTTTCTGCAGCGATGCATAGTTGTGGTTTATTGTGTTTGTTACATAACTGGGCGAGTTGTGGTTTATTATGTTTGTTACATAATTGGGCGTGGTTAAAATGTCACAAAGGATTGACATGAGAAAACAGTGGAAATAACCTTTAGACTGACTGTGCTCTACCTAAGGTTATTCTTACGTACCAGCTGTTTGCCAACTATGTTTGTGGACTGCCTTTGTGAACAGGTTATGTTGTAAAGTCACGTCTCTATACTTGTTATCATTCCTTCTCGTCAAAACCACCTTTGAATTCATCATTATTTGTCTACATAAAATTTTAGAAAATAGGACATAGTCTTGGGTAAAGAACAGTTTTTGAGTTTAAGATAAATCTGTATCAGAAAATAGGATTAAAAATGAAATTGTTTGTACGTTCATACTAATTTAATGTTCACTTTTAAGAAGACAGACACTGAGTCCGTCACCTGGGACGACCTCTCCCTCGCTCAGTTTATTCTTCACCTTTATGCCATTTTGTCGTTCTGATTCCCACAGTCCACTCTCTGTTTCTGCTTTTTTTTTATATTACACCTCAATCTCTGTCCAAATCAGCCTCAACTGGGCAGACGTCCCTTGCTGTCCCACTGGTAGTCTGAATGAAAGCAAGAAAAAAGCAGTTTTCCAGTCATGGCAGCAGGGGTATTTGATGACCAGATTAGTGCGTATTAGGCTCAGCAGCATTCAATCAGCCGTACACAGGGGCCACTGGTTTGAATCCCTCAGAGTCTCCCCTCTTTTCTCTCTTTGCTGGCCCTCTGCTGAATGCAGACTGGGGTTACGCGGGGAAACAACCGGCCGGGTCCTTGGTGAAGGTCAGCTGAGGAGGCCCGGCCATCCTGCGCCGCCTCCTCGGGGCCCGGCCCAGTGAATTATGCTGTCAGAGAGGGGAGATTTGTTTTATAACAGTAGGAAAGTG